TTATACTCTCTATACTATCTTTGCTCTTTATTCTTTGCTCTTTATACTCTTTATACTCTTTATACTCTCGAGTCGCGCGTCACGTCGTTCTGCTGTCCACTGGTTAATAAATTCTCTAAAACGCACGCAGGATAGTTGCGCGCGCCTTTCCCTTCTTCTCCCTGTTACTCGTTTGGTACAACTGGACGTCGACGAGTTGTTGCTGCTTCTCATAGCTTCTTATACCAGTATAGATAGTGATCTCCCTCGCTGATCTGCAGATCATCCACACCTGAAAGATCGTTTTATAGTTACAGATAGAATGCGTCTCGAATGCGTCTCGAATCGTGTGGAAGATAGAATAAAGAAGTTGTTTCGAGAAACAACAGTTTGCAAATCAAATAGCATCTTGTCAATTTATTTGTCCATTGTTTGTCTATCGCTCGAAGCGATCTGAGCGAGAAAGGGTGCGTACCTCCAGGTGCGACTAGTTGATTACCCGGTGGCGAGGCTGGATCGGGTGGCGTAGTCAGCCGATACAGCAACCAATAGTGATAGGACATTGGCTCCTCTTTGTAACCTGCTATCGTGTGAACATAGTGGCCGTTCGGCCATTCGGATGCAACAAATTGAAAATGCGGTGACATCTCTGCGGCTAGAAGCATCATTTCGTAAAATGTTTCGTTCTTAGGCGCCGTCACTGTCAAACTGTACGTCTCGTTCACGTTGCTGCCGACCCACAGAGTGTAAGAAACGTTTACCATGGCCGGTGTGGCAACGGTAACGATCGCGCCATCCGTGTTGCTCGCGTTGAGCGCATTTGCCCCGTTATTGCCATTGTTGCCGCTATTTCCGTTCTGTCCATTGCTACCATTGCCATTGTTAGTTCCGCTGCTGCCAACGGACGTGACATTAGTCGCCACGCTGGTGGCCCCAGAAATGACAGATATCGGTAGACTGTCGTTACGATTGCCCGGGATCGCCGCTGGCTCTGCAACATCGGGTTCGACGACGGGTTCTTTGCTTAGATTAACTAGACGAAGATTAACCACGTACGTGACTAGAGTAGAAGGAACAGCGTTTCTCCGTTCGTTGAATTTTTTTACTTTATTATTGTAAATTTCTCTCGATCGACGAATCGGATATAAAGTAATAAAGTAATGAAATATATTCTATAAGTAGTGATGAAATGATGAAAAGCGTAGACAACAACGCTGCTGCTTTAGACGAGGGAACGATTATTGACAATTTGGGTTTTGGGTTTTGGGTTTTGGGTTTTGGATTTTGTGTTTGAGAACGAGAATGGGAGTGTTGCGAGAGCCGTGTGTCTCGTCTCGATGAGTGTACGAGACTCGATGAGAGATGGATGGCGAAGATCGAAGATCGAAGATCGAAGATCGAAGAT